TGTTTTGGTTGTCTTATTTTGTTGAGTTGTGAGTATTCTTTATATATTCTAGATACTAGTCCTTTGCTAGATACAGGGTTTGCAAATATTTCCTCTCAGTCTGCCACTCTTTTTTTTTTAATTTTATTTATTTATTTATTTATTTTATTCTCTTAGCAGGATCTTTCACAGAACAAAAGTTTTAAATTTGGATGAAATACAATTTATCAAGCTTTCCTTTTATGGACTGTGCTTTTGGTGTCTGGTCTTAAGAATTCTTTGTCTAGGCCTAGATTTTGAAGATTTCCTCCTATATTTTTCTAAAAGTTTTAAATTTTTACATTTAAGTCTGTGACCCATTATTAGTCGATTATCGTCTAAGATGTAAAATTTGGGTTGAGATATTTTTGTTTGTTTGTGGGGTCTTTTTTTTTCTTATGGAAGTCCAATTGTCAAGAAAACTAACTTCCTGGACTCACTTCTGTTCCAATGCTCTACATGTCTGTCCCTCCAACCAATACCACACTACACTTTCTTGACTCCTGGAGTCACATAATGTCTTGAAATAGGATAGGAAGATTCCTCAGCCTGACAGCCACTGGCAGAAGCAATAGTGCCCTTCTTTCAGCCTGGCTCTGAATGGGTTAAGGAACAGAATGGCCCACAGGGACCATGTAGTCATGTAATGAGGCCTGGCTGCAGAACTGGGCCTCAAGGCCTCTTCCTCTATGCAAGGCCTTCAAATAGACGTGTATTTGAAGTTCAGGATTTCTTGGGCTGTTGTGGGGAGGATGAGGGCAGAGAGTGAATTGGTTCTAGAAAGTGCTAAGGGGTCAAAAGGCTTGGCCTTTTATTCTGAGAGAGAGCAGGTGTGAGGGGAGGACCTACCATAAGCCTGGAGTTCTCCTCCTTCACCCCTGCCTCTATTTTCTTTTCCTTTCCAGACTGTGTTCTGCCCCTCTTCTCAGCCTTTTTTCCCCCCTGTCTTTCCACAGGCCCTCTTTTTATCTTGATTTGCATGCATAAAATATGTTTACTGTGATCTAAAGAGAAGGTGCAGAATTCTACACAGAATAAAGGCACATCACCCCCCAGCCCAGAGGGGTGCAGGTGGCCCACTGGAGGCCCGGCTGCATCCAGCACTGTCCTTCTCTTCCGGGAGCCTCTGTGTATCCTCCATGAAGAGAGCGAGTGACCAGCCCCTGCACCCTGCCCAGGACACTTGTCTCTTCCTGCCATGCTTTGAATAATGGCACAAGGACATGCACACACGTGACCATGAGTTTCAAGGTCTAGACTGCAGACCCAGGATATGTTATGTTTTTTGAAGGGTGGGGTAACAGAGGGAGGAAGAAAGAGATGAAGAATGCAAACTTCTAAGATTTTTTTTTTAAAGAAAGAACTCCTAAATTAGATTACACCTCTGTCCTAGGACTCTCCTTTCAAATGCCAGTACTTATTTCTTGTTTTAATTTTCAAGACAAAATATTTCACACACTAGAAATATGTAGAATGACATAATCCCAAGTAATCATCATTCAAGTTTAATAATCATTACCATTTTTGTCATTTGTTTCAGGTATATTTCTCAGAAATTAAATATTAGTAATGAAACTGACAACCCTCCTCCCCACAACCCTCCTCAAGGGCCCTCACTGTGCCCAAAGGGGGAGAAGGTCCTTCTACTTCTGAGGACAGCCCCCTCCCCCGCACCTGTAAATAGCACAGTATCGTTTGTACACCTCCATCATCAACACTATCGGCTCTGCATCCTTCTTTTTCATTATTATTTTTCCCACCCAAATTTACACTCTCAGGACTTATTCGTGTTGATACAAGTGGAGCTACTTCCCTCACTCTCCGCCCCAGGGAACATTCTGCTGCATGTAATGTGCCCCATTCTTCACTCAGGCCTCTCCTGATTGCCATTCAGGAGGTGTCCAGTCTTGCACTTTGCACACAATGCTGCAGGCGCTGTGCCTGGCATTTCCTCCGCTGTGGACAATGAGCCCAGGAGTTGCAGGGTGACAGGATGTGGGCATCTCCTGGTCTTTCGTTTGTTGCCACACGTCTTCCCAACTTCTTTATGGCCATTTAAACGAGCACAGCCGTGGAGAGAGCTGCCTGGCTCTGCACACCCGGGACCGGGACCAGGTTGATGTCATCGAGCGGTGTAGAGTGGCATCTTGCATACTGTCTGGAAATTTCCCCAACCACTATTGAGTGTGCGCAGCTGAGGCAGAGGGTCTGTGCCTGTCGCTGACCCATTTTCCATCTGGGGTCTTGTCTTCACAGACTGTCAGAATTCTCCGGGCTTCTGCCTGGCAGTCTTTGGCATTTATAAGTGTTGCATATGTCTTCTCTCAGAGTCGGTTTCTGTAACTTAGTTTCTGTTCAACTTGAGTTTTTACTTTAAATACGACCAAATTTGTCAAAGTTTTCTTTCTGCTTCCCCTCCAATTTTTTACAAAAGGGAGAAAAAAACCCACACCCTTTCCTTAACTACACAATCCCTGGTGTGACAGAGCGTGCCCGAGAGTTCGGGAAGGGGAAGGGGGCAAGGGCGCACGACCACATGCTGCAGAACTGGTGGTCTGGGCGACTCAAACCGAATCAGTGTTTGCAGAAGGATGTGAAACGTGGCCTCAGACAAATGCTCCAGAGAGCCTCGCTTGTTTGATAAACGCAATTGTCAAAAGACTGGAGGAAATCTTCCTTCTCCGATGTTTTCTTGCGATTGAGGAGTCCTACCTGCTCCCGCCGCCGGGGCAGAGCGGCCTCCCGCGGCCTCTGGGGCCTCCTGGTCGCGCACACCCGAAAGTCGCCTGGGCCACCTCGGAGGAGCAGCTGCCAGAGGGGCGGGGGACGGAGGTGAGCTAAGTTCTTCCAAAGACTGTCTTGCAGAAACACTTTTTAAAAAAGGAAAAAAAAAAAACCCTCACAACTCTTCATCTGTTTCCACTCGCCCGGAATAGCTGCAGCGGCGCCGCGCGGACCTCTCCTGGAAGCGGCGCGCGCCGTGTCTGTCGCTCTGTCGGAGGGTCCGGGCCTGCCCAAGTGCTGGGTGTGCAAGTGCAAAGGCTGAGCGCTTCCAACTTTTCTCCTTCCAACCAGCCGCAGACGAAGAGCAAGGGCGCTCGGGTCTTCGTTACTGTGGAAACGTGTCTCCCGTGACTCCGATCCCTTAAAAGAACTCCGGCCTGTCCAGACCCGGCCGGCCGGTCCCCCTTTCTACCTCTCCCGGTGCTCCAGGGCCCCCTCCCAGTTGGGGGCTGCAGACGCCGGCGGGGCCCACGTGGACCCGGAGCTCGGGATCAGGGCACGCGGGTCCAGCGCGGCCGGGAAACTCGGTCAAGGGGCGAGGAGAGGAGCGACGGGAGGAGGAGAAGGACGGAGAAGTGAGAGGACAGAGAGGCAGTCCTGGAAATGCGGAGAAAAGGCGAGATGCGGATTCTCTGGGCGCAGCGGGGAGAGAACCTTCTGGATGCAAGTCGGAGGCGGATCGTCGGAGGAGATGCTAGGAGGGGAGCTGCCCACTAAAGAAACCGGTAGGGACGAGTCAGCGAGGAAGAGACCTCACAGTGATTAGGAGCTACAGAGTCAGTTAGGTGGGGAGGAGCCCTGGAAGTGAGGACGCTGGTCTTAGAACCTAAAGGACCGCGCCCGGAGTCCAGGGTCCCGGCGCCCCGACACTTCCGGGCCTCCCCAACTCTGGGTCCCCTCGAAAGGTCCCCCGGCACTCCCTGAAGGACTCAAGCCTTCCGGGCCCCTTTTAAAACCTCTGAGCTGGGTTCCCCTTTGGGGTTCCAGGACAGGAGCGGCGGTGCCCCACAGCCTGTTGGGGGGCGGGGACTGTCCCCTCTGAGCAAGTTTTCCAGGCGCAAGCTGCAGCATCTGAAGACTCTGGGAATACCAGTGTTCGGACCCCTAAAAAACATGCTCAAGGAATGGCAAGAGAGAGGAACCCCATGCTTGAAAGAAACTTTTCATTTGGACTTAACTTTTATACAATTTATAACCACGTATTTCTGTTTGAGAGAGAGAGAGAGAGAGAGAGAGAGAGAGCTTCTGTTTTCGAGAGAGAGCGAGAGCGAGAGAGCGAGAGAGAGAGAGAGAGAGAGAGAGGAAAAGGAAATTGCAGAACCACACTTTTCACTCTCCTCGCCTTTTTTCTTGCTGTCACGCCCTCTACAAACAGCTAGGAGGATCTTGGGACCAAAGGGGCTTTCATTGGGAATGCAGTCAATTTGATACACTGAAATTACTCATATTTTAAATATTACCTCACGAAAGGTAACCCATGTGAAATCTATGTATTCATCTTTTTTTAAAAAATGTTTTTTTAGTGGTGGGGGTGTCAACTGGGGGAAAAGGAGACATATGTAATACTTTAAACAAAAAAATATGCTTTTATTGATTTTTTTTAAAAGAGAGAGATTGAGGAAGAAAGAGATAGAAACATTGATGGGCTGCCTCCTGCAAGCCAGGTACTGGGGAAGGAGCCTGCAACCCAGGCATGTGCCCTGACCTGGAATCCTACCTGTGACTTCTTGGTGCATGGGTCGACGCTCAACCACTAAGCCATATCGGCTGGGCTATGTATTAATCTTAATTGACAAAAAAACAAAAACAAAAATTACACGCACGCCCTCAAATATTCACCAAACTTACAGAAAGTCCAGCGAAGGTTAGGGCAATAAGACAAAGAGAAAAAGGTCTTATGCGGAGTAAGCTTTATTGCAATGCCTGATATAATTGTTCTTCTTCGCCGAATTAAACCTAAGTGGAAAGGG